TCAGCATCCCTGAAGGGAGTACATTTAAATTCACGCATGAACCATGAGTGGGATTTGGCAGGGAAGGGACTTTATGGACCCCAAGGGCACAGAAGCATTCCCAAAAGAAGGGAAAAATAAAGACCCAAAGGCACACAGCTGTGTGTGGAGAGAGAGTCTGGGTGACGGTGCTCTGACAATTTTAGGAATATTTGAGAACAGCTAAATCTGTCTCAAAAGCATGACAATATTAAATTCTTTTTGTACAATTAGAGTAAGTGTAAGTCTGTAGAGGGTAAGTTTTTTTTAACTATCAGCTTTTAAAATTGCTAATTTTTAAACACAAATATAAATTAGATTTATAGAATGTACTCATCTTTTGACTGGAATGTTGTACCTGTTAAATCTTCTAGTTTTTACCACCTCAAAGTCACTGGCCACCAACTCTCTATTCTCTTTTTTTGTGTGTGTTCAACATCTTCAGATTTCACACATAAGTGAAGTTGTGTGGTGTTCATCTTTGGTACCTATTTTACTTTACTAGGAATAGTGTTCTCATCCATTTTGTAGCAGCGGCAGCATTTTCTTTGTTGGGCTGAATCATATTTTAATTTCTGTATATATCACTTATTTTTGTAATCTTTCCATCCCTCGGTAGACGCTTGAGTTGTTTCCATATCTTTAGTAGACTTTTTTTTTTTAAATACTGGTATTGGTGCTATCCCTTAGCTTTTTTTTTCTCAAGGCTGACACTTTACAAATTCAATAATTTATATGTCAGGCTTTTTGCTGGTAAATTGCAAATAAAAAGATTTTAGGATTTACTTGCCAACATTGGCTCTTCAGAGCTGTTTTTTGAGCTGCTGCCAGGTGCCTGACCAGATACCTGGGTCTTTAGGCTGTGTATTACTTTACAGCCAGATAATGTTACTCGACAAGTCTTTTTTTTTTTTTTTTTCTGTGCAGACATCTAAGACAAGCGGTGCCTTTGAAAATGAAGGTCTTGAAAGTCCTGTGCATTCTTGAGTTTGTTTTTTGACACAGCCCAACACTGACACTACTTGGTTTGAGAGGTTAAAGTTGGCTGCGTAGGGTGGCAGGTATTCTAGATACATGGCAGCAACTGACACTGTCTACTAGCTCTTTCCTGGAGATTTTTACAAGGCAAGGGCATGCTGGCTTTGAAATCAGACATGCATATGTTCCATGCTGGTGGTAGGGTGTCTGGTGAGCTGTTCTTGACCTACGATGAGCATTGTGCAGCTTGGTGAGGCTGGAGTTAAGTTGAAGTCACAGTGAGTGTCACAGGAGGGTCACTGGACATCTCTGATTGTTAGGATTTCTGTCCCTTGGGGAAAGGACAAACAGGGCCTCTTTAAGTTTTCTACATGGAACTTCTACATATTGACAACATCAACCACACGAGCAGATAGGAAGGTCTGAAGCATAGAGAGTCGTAGTATTTGCCAGTATCATGCCCAGAAGGTACAGATCTTTGGCTGTCATTAGAATAAGGCTCAGAGCCTTCTTACGAATGTTGGGATTGGAAGGAAGGGGCTCAGACCATACAGACACTATAATAGGTCCTAGGAGTAGAATGGATTGTGATAACTGGCTCAGGAGTTTCTGGTTTCCACCTGTGCACCTCAGACAGCTAAACTGCTGGGATGTACACCAGGCCAAGGCATGATGCCTTGCTTTTAGAGTTAATCTATACTCTTTGGAGGGAAGGCCCTCCCAACAGAAGGTGTCAAGCTCTAGAGTATGGCTTTAAGTTGAAGGAAAGAAAATCCAAATGTTACAGAGAAGTCAGGCACTCCTTTAGATTTTTTAGTGGTCAAATTTTGTATTGTCAGGGCTCCAAATTATAGTAAAAGTACACATGATACCCATGTTAATTCGTCTTTTTATTCCTAAAGGGAAGTATGCATGTGTTTGTGGAATTTGTTTTAAATTCTCTCTCTCTCCCTCCCTTTCATATATTCGTATCTGAGCCTGGCTGTTCAGAAAATCCTTGAGTAAATTCTATTTTGAGGGCCTTCTACTCTGAACTTGAGCATGCACATGATACTATTTGGTGGTATGTTAGTTTGGCTTCAGTGTTGCCTTTTCTGATGGGTGTAGATTACAGTTTGTAATGAAAACTTCCCTTAACAGAAGTTTTGAGTGACTGCCCCCTCCCCCTCCCCTGCCCGCCCCATGGACAGAAGTAGTGGAGAACTTCATTTAAACCATAGAGAGTGGGCTGGGAAGGTGGCTCAGTGGTAGAGCGCTTGCCTTGCATGCCTGAGGCCCTGGGTTCAGTTCCTTAGCACCACATAAGCAAAAAGAAAAAAGCTGGAAGTGGCGTTGTGGCTCAAGTGGTAAAGCGCTAGCCTTGAGCTGAAGAGCTGAGGGATAGCGCCCAGGCCCAGAGTTCAGGCCCCACTACCGGACCCCCCCCCAAAAAAAAAAAAACAAAAACAAAACAATGAGAGTGCAGTTTTGGTCACTATGTTTCTGATTTTGAGGCATGCAATGCACTGACAGTTTGCCAAAGCAGTACTTTTCTCAAATAAACACTGCAACCTTCATTTCTCACACTTGAATCCAAGGCACTTTGGCACCTTGAAGTGAATTTTACGTTGTTTTACTTGCATTGCAACTACTTATCAAATCATGTTCTCTTTCTGTTGGACAATGATCAGAGGCATTGTGGTTTGACTTGGCCTATTAACAAAAGATTCAAAAGATTCAACATCTCAAACCCATTTCTATTATGAAAATACGGTACAGAGGGGTTACAATTACATGGGCAAGGTAATGAGTACGTTTCTTATGAAGCATTGTTGCCTCCTCCTTTGTTTCCCCTTCCCATCCCTTCCCATATCCCCCCATTTCATTGTTCTTTTGCTTTGGTCTAGACCTAACTTGCTAGCATTTGGTTTTCTGTTTGGGTGAATGTACAGCTCACTGGACTTGGGTTTTTAAGAACCAAGAGAATTTCTAACTCTAAAATCTATTATGGAAAATATTTAATGACCTTGTCATATTTGTGACCTTAAACTTCTCCAAAACATCATGTGATAAAGACTTGGATACTGGTTCATGGTACTGTTGGGAGGTGGAGCCTAAGGAGGAAGTTAGGTTATTGGGGGTGTGTCCTGAGGGGGATTTTTGGGACTCTTTCCTAGTTGTTATGAACTGAGTGTATTAGCTTTGCTTTATCACAGGCCACAAACAGCCAAGTCAGCTGACAAAGGACTAGAAACCTTAAAACTCTGAACCCAAATAATCCGTTCTTCCTTATAAGTCAGTAATCTCAGGTATTTGGTATAGTGATGGTAAGCCAACTGACATGGAGCCTAAGAAAGTTAACTCCTAAGTAAATTTGGATATTAACATCTTATCAGAAAAAAAATGTTAGGAAGGTTCAGTAATATCACTTGTCTGATTGTGAACTTAACCTAGCATTGGCCTGGGGAAGTATGATTCCAGACCAATTCACTTTTCAATTCAAATCTTAGAAATGTTGCCTATTTCTAAAATAGCTCATGAAAATATGAATTGGAAATGGTTCAGGGAGGATGGGTGCCTAATGCACTTCTGTGTATTGTGTTTCCTTGGTAAGTGGCATAGATAATAAAACCATTGATGTCAGCAAGAGGAAATAAAAACCTTGGCTCAAGACCCAAGTCCACATACTAGAACTTCCATTTAGGGACCCATCACGTGATCATAAGCATGGAGTGGGGAGCAATAACTTTTGTAGTATGCACTGGAATCTTGACCTGTTTAGACTCCTACTGTTTACTGCTCACTTTGTCTTGCATTGAATCATAGGTATTTTTAAAACTCACGGTGATTTCATGGTAATACAGGAGAATACATAAAGAAGGATACTTATGTCAAAATTTATGAACTTGCCTTTTAGCATTTTTATGATAGCCCTACTTGAATTATCTTTTTCTGTCTGACTGAAGCAGAATTCGATTTTTTTTCTGCAGGGTATTTAACATTTTGGATCATAATCATGCTCAAGATGAATTAATAGATCGCCTCTGAGTGAACTGTCAAGGCAGATCCCTTTTGGGTTTGAAATGTAATTAAAGATGCCAGTGAACTCACTCAGAAGTCTACATAGCCCTTTGGGGTCTCCTCAAAAATGCTGGTCAAGGGCAGGGATGTTTAAGAATTGGCAAGGCAAAGCAATATTGGACTCAGTACAAAAAGGGAGGAGTTGTAGCCCCTGTATCAGTTCCATCTCCCTTTAAGTTGGTGCCGTTTAGAGTGGTATTCTTGATGTTTTTAACCCAAGATCAGGGATCCACTTGGTGTCTCCTCTCAGCAAATAGTCAGTGTTAGGGACTCCAAGAGAGAACCAGATTTTCCCACAGTTTCATGCTTTGCAGACCTTTTTTCTTAGGGTTCCTGAACCTGCCTCCTTTGCACTTGGGCTGTGGAGAGGAGTGCTGGAAGGCACTGAGGAGCCTAAGTTGCCTCCTCCATGGTTGCCACCTGCCCCTCTTTCCTATCCCTCCTCCAACTGCTGGCCACAGGATGTGTGGTTCAGCCCTCTATGACTCCTGCTGCAGAACTAATGCAGGGAAGCAAAGATGGAATGTTCCTCTAGAATAGGCTCAAAAATACTGTGTTCAAGCAAATCACTGGGTACTTTTATTTATTTAAAGTGGTAAAATTCAATCAAACATACACATTTGTGTGTGTGAGAGAGTGTGTATGCAGGCACACATGCACACGTGTGTGAAGCTTGAACTCAGGGCCTGAGTGTTGACCCTTAGCTGTTTTGCTCAAGGTTGGCACACTACCACTTGAACCACAACTCCATACCAGCTTTTTGATGGTTAATTGGAGATAAGAGTTTCACGGACTGTCCTCTCCAGGCTGGCTTTGGAAGGAGATCCTCAGATCCCAGCCTCCTGTGTAGATAAAATACAGACATGATCAAACATGCACATCTAATGCATGTTCCTCTCTACTTCTTTATAGGTTTCATAGGTTCCTTTAATGCAAGTGATGTCCCAGATGAAGATTCACTGAGATTTGAGTTGGATTCGAGAGTTTGTCAGATCTCCACATCTTTGTAAGTTCAGCGGTGATATCATCAGCTAAAAACCTCATCTGTGTTTGCCAGTCACCTCTTGTTGCTTTGTGCCAAAGGTAAGTCTTCTGTTTTCTTCATAAAACAAGCAGATGGATTTGCTATTCTTGTTTTAAATGCTTAATTTGCCCAGTAATTTTTAAACTAGGAATGTGACCATTAAACACAGTTCAGATTTGTTGAAGTGCCTTGAATTAAGTTTCTAAGGGACCCAGTTCAAAAATTGGATCACTGCTGGAGGTGGTAGCACATGTCTGTGATTCCATCTCCTTGGGAAGTAGGACCGAGGCCACTTTGGGAAAAGGTATAGATACGTTATGTCAAAAACAAATTTATAAGCCAGGTGCTGGTAGCTCATGGCTATAATACTAGCTACTTGGGAAGCTGAGATCTGAGAATTGCAGTTCAAAGCTAGCCCAAGCAGGAAAGTCTTGTCTCCAGTTAACCAGCATAAACTAAAAAGTGGATGTATGTCTCAAGTGGTAGCATGCCATCCTTGAGTGGAAAAAGCTAAAGAACAGTACCTGGGCCCTGAGTTCACAGAAGGGCAAAAATTCTGGGGTGTTGCTCAAGCGACAGAACACTTGCCTGGCATGCATGAGGCTCTGGCTTGAATATCTAGTATCAAACAAACAATAACAAAATAATCTCCCTTTTCCAACTTTAAATTGATGGGTTATGGCTGTAGACAGGGAAGATGTAGAACAGTAGACATATCGCACTTGTAAGTCAGGATAGTGCTTCCCCTCACCTGCCTCAGCACATGTTTCTAGAACATGTTCTGAACTGGAGCCTGTTGTGCACTGTATTAGGGCCGCTAAGCACCTTTTTTCCCTAGCAAATCCTTCACTCCAGCTTTGATTCTGAGAAAATAAGTCTCCATTAAAGGAAAATATAAACAATAAAAATTCTTAGGAAGGTTCTGTTGTGTGAGAGATCTACTTCTCATGGATTCTGGCACTCAGAAGTTCCATCGTATCCTGTAGCAGGTAGACAAAAACTTGTAGACAAAAACATGGCTGTGTGGCAAAACTTGTGTATGTTCACATGCATGAATAGATACACGTACACTGTGTACATGGGTATATGCATGTATGTGTTTGACTAAAGAGTGAACCCAGGTTCTCATGCATGCCAGGCAAACAACCACTGAGCTATGTCCTCAGCCCACAAAAATAATCCGTTAAACCATTGTTGGAAACATTTTTCCTGTGAGTTATTGGTGGTTGGGTAATCCAGTTCATTAGATGCCCAAATCAAGCTGGGTAGTCAGATTATGTCTCAGATTGTGGGATAACACCCACAATAACACCTACTTCATCTTTCCTTGAAAACCATCTTTTGCTTCTACTATTTAGATTTCTGTGATATTGTTGAAGTTACAGACTGAAATCTCTTGGTATAACTGTTTCCATCAGTTTGCTATCTTACGTTTGAATTTTCTTTTAAATTAGTCTGAAGTGATTACTAAGGCATTTTGTTAATATGCTGTTTCTCCTCAGACACATTTGTGTGTGTGTGTGTGCACGTGTGTGTGTGTGTGTGTGTGTTTGCATACGTGCACACATGTGCACGCACATGTGTGTGTGTGTGTGTGTATGCACCACTCCTGGGGATTGAACTCAGGGCCTGGGCACTGTTCTTGAGCTTTATTGCTCAGGGATGTCACTCTACTACTTGATCCACAGATCCATATCCAGCTTTTTTGGGAAGGAAGGAGTACTTAATTGGATTTAAGCATCTTATGGATTTTCATGCCCAGGCTGGCTTCAGACCAGATCCTCAGATCTCAGCCTTCTGAGTACATAGGATTGTAGACATAAGCCACCAGCACTTTGCTCTCAACACATTTAAAATGTTTGTGGAACCTTCTTAATTTCAATTATGCCTCTTTTGATGTATCACATTCAGAAGGCTATAAATCGAGTATGTGGTATTTCATGAGAACATGTAGTATTTCATGAGGGTAGGATTAAGTATCCCAATGCTTCCATATTGTTATCCTTGTGATATTCTTTATAGAGAAAATGGTATGTTGTTCCACTTATTAGGACATTGTTAATTATCAGAGCATGCTTGGTGTGGAAATGAGTTTGAGTAGCTGGTTGATTGATTCCCAGGCCTTCCCTTTATACTTCATATTCTAGGTTTTGCCACCAGGGGTGCCATTGAGCTACTAGTCCCTGCCTGCCTTTCTGGAGTTTCCCAGACTTTATGCAAGACCAAGATCTGGGTGGGCTTGGGGGGAGGGAGGGTGTTCCCTATGCCAATCCTGAGATTTAATTATATAACAAAGCTCTCAGACTCCTGGTGGTTCTAAATTTTTTAAAAATAGTTATTGGAACCTCTCTGGATTTTGCCATTTGTAAATGCAGTCACTTGTCAATCTGTCAGAATGTAAATTCTGTTCTGAAGGGAACATGTTCTAGGTTCTGATGCTACTTCCTGAAGTTCTTAATCATCAGTGGCATGAGCAAACTTGGAATTGCTAGCCCTTCTCCGGAATTTAGGGGAGAAATGGCAAGAAAAGTGAGGATTACTGTGTTCACTGGGCCTAAGCACCCAATAAGGTGCATTAATGCATGTCAGGGCAGTGTCAGAGAGCCACACACAAATTATCAGTGCATGCATACTAATCAAAATGTCTACACTCGGAAGTGGCGCTGTAGCTCAAGTAGTAGAGCGCTTGCCTTGAGCTGAAGAGCTGAGGGACAGTGCCCAGGCCCAGAGTTCAAGCCCACGACCGACAAAAAAAAAAAAAAACAAAAAAAAACCCCCAAAAACAAAAACCAAAAACAACCAAAAAAACAACAACAAAATGTCTACACTCGTGTCATTTTAAAGGACTGTGTTTATTTCAGAAGTTTTTGACATCTACACCAAACAACCTTATTTGCCTACTCAAATTCACTTTTGTTTTTTGAAAGATACTCTCTAAGAAAATCATGAGATACATTTACTTGTATTACTTATTGCAAATACCAATCATAAAACAACAGTGCTGTTTTAGTACTGCATTTTAGTACCTACAAAACCAGGTAAAGTGTTGTTCTTTTTCACAGCCTTCAGAATAGGCTGGACCCTGCTGTTATAGGCCTGTCTGACTGCCTTAGGAATAGAATACATAGCCATCCCTGGTGCCAGAGGTGGGGCTGCACAGACCCTGTGGGAAGGGCTCTAAAGAAGCTGGAGGAAGTTCCAATTAGAATAAGTTTAAGAGCATGAGAAGATACCTGGACAGAGAGTGCAGGCTGTATGGACTAGCTGTCTAATGGATTCTGAAGACTGAGGCATATAGCATTAAGTTAGAGGCCAGGCATATGCTGATTGGTCTTTGAAAAACTCTACCATCTGGTATGTCAGAAGATGGGAAAGCTATGCTGGCCAGGAAGGATGGTGAGTGGAATGTCAGCCTTGAATGTTTTTCCTACTTACAGGTACTCAAGGTGTATGACCTGCTACTAGATCTGCCCTTGACGTAAAACTGAGGGAGCACTTTGAGGAGTTAGGGCTTAGATTTCTTTGGCCTAGAATCTCATCTCACCATTTAAGCCACGGGAGACTCCCTGCCTCTGCCATGCTCATTTTGGGGAGTGTTGACCATGGGAAGAGGATGGGAGCACACACCTCTTTCAACAACAGATGGTTGTTTACAAATGCACAAGCTATTCATTATTCTTGCTCCCAATTTTGAAAACTGAGTGCCATTTCCTGTCGTGAGGGGTTGGCTGTTGCTTGCTTGCTGTGGTTGAAGGACGTGAAGAGCTTTGTACACTATGCTGTGGGCTTTGAGGTTTTGAAAAGCTATTGGAGGCTATTTCAGAAGAAAAGCACTTTAATGTATGGAAGGATGTTGGTTTTCCAGGGAGAAAAGACAGTGGCTTAGGCAGCAAGACTTCTAAGCTAAGTAAACAAGACCTGGATTTCACAAACTTCTCAGTTGTTCACAGGAATAGCCAAAGTGTAAATATCAGCCACAATCTTGTACACATCCTTTCCATCCTCCACAGAAACAACAGTTGGCTTTGCTTAATTCAGCAGGGGAAAATGAAAAGCCAGGCAGGTCATATCTGATCTTCCTAAGAATGTATCCAGTACTATGCCTTTTTAAATATATTCATAGGAACCTGGATTTACATAGGAACCATTTTCCTAGACTTTATAAATGTTGTCAGTCTGTTTTTATTACTGTAATGAAATGCCTGGGCATGAGTAACTTTTTAAAGAAAAGAAACTGGTTTAAGCTTACAATTCTGGAGGTTCTTAAAGTTCATCTGGTTATGACCTTGCTGGCAGAGCCCTGAGGTTGTACAGGGCATCACATGGGAAGAGCTGGATAACCTGTGCTTGTCTTTGAGTCTCTCCCTCTCCACACAAAGCCTCTAGGATTCAATCATGGAGACCCACCCCGATGATTGGATCTAATCAACCGGCAAAAACTACTCAGCTCAAGTTTCTATCCCCTTCAGTACCTCACAATGGAGATCAGATTTCAACACACCATTCCTTGGGGGACCTCAAACTATATCCAAATGGTAACAATAGTTTTAGAAAAATTGCCTAAAATCAGCTCCTTATATTACACTCCAGCTCTTGGCCAGTGGCAGTCTCAGAGATGGCCACTCTTCAAGAATTATTGAGAAAGACTTTTTATAGACAAGGCCATTGGTCAGTCCTTAAGTTTTCAGGTCTGTAGCTGCTGTTGGAGGTATAGGACTAGAGATGCTCTGGTACCTAAAAGTGATTTCTGCACCTCAAAATGGCTTCTGTGCAAGTAGGAATGAACCTCTGGCCCCCTTATTGTCAGCTGAGGCCCTGGAGGTCCAAAGAGATATCCTACTTGAACTGACTGCTTCTTCCTCCACAGGTGGGTTCAGAGTTTCACAAGATGGTTCCAACCTTTGGTGCTCCAGGTTCTGTGGTAGTCTGTAATAATTGATGAAACAGTCTTCCACTCATTGGAAGCAGCCCCTGCATTTGCAAACACCTGGTGTAAGGCCTGTTGCCTCTGTGGATCTTTTCTGGCCTCCGGTGCAGATATTTTACCCCATGCATGGCA